CCCCCCCCCCCCCCATGTGCAATTAGCAAGAAGCTCACAGTGGAAATAAACCCAAAGCTACGGCAACGGTAGCCACACAGTAACAGTCCTGGAACCGGGTAGTGGATGTGCGGGCGGGCGCTCACTCGGCAGCGATTTCAACTCTTTTTTTTTTTTTTAATGTTTACGATCAAATGACGGCAAACAAAACACTTAGGAGACAAACCCCTGGTCCCACATCCCTCCCTCGCTCCCTGGGGCGTGCGTGGCCCGTTCCACTCATTGCTCGTTGCCTTCATCATCTTGTTCCTCAAGGCCTTGTGCTCTCCTGGTGCCGGTGGCCGCGTCAGCTGTCCTTTCAGGTTAAACCAATGTCCTGGGTCTGGGTTGCTGGGCCCCCCGGGGTCTCTGGAGCCCTGTCTGTTTGGTGCAAACACGGGGACAGCCTGGGTTCCGCCTCAGGAGGGACGCGGGGGAGGGGGGCAGCAGGCAGCCCGGAGCTTCCTGAGAGTGGACTGGTCACCGGAGGGGCTGGGGAGGGGTGTCACCTGGCTTTTTATTTTATGTACTAGAGGCCCGGTGCATGAATTCACACACGGGTGGGGTCTGCTGATCAGCCTGGTCGGCTGGGGTAGGAAATGTGAGAGGTTGGTGGGTGGGCCGGCTCTGCCCAGAATCAGGGTGTGGAGGGCCAATAGGGGCAGGGCGGGCCGGTCACCTGGCTTTTTATTTTATGTACTAGAGGCCTGGTGCATGAACTCACACATGGGTGGGGTCTGGCCGGCCCGCCCCATCTGGGCCGATCAGCTGGGTCGACTGGGGGAGGAAATGTGAGAGGTTGGTGGGCGGGCCGGCCCCACCCCCTGGTCAAACTCCCAGTCGAGGGGACAATTTGCATATTTCCCTTTTATTATATCGGATATCTTTATTGATTTCAGAGAGAGGAAGGGAGAGTGATAGAAACATCATGATGAGAATGATGAGAGAGAATCATCAATCGGTTGTCTCCTGCACTGGAGATTGAGCCCTCAACCTGGACATATGCCCTGACTGGGAATGGAACCATGACCTCCTGGTATATAGGTCGACACTCAACCACTGAGCCACTCCACGCCACTGCTGCTGGAGCCGCGGGCTCCCGACCTCGGCGCTGTCGGCATGTTTTATTCAACGCGCATCTCATTGTTTTAATAAGTAACGGGTAGCACCTCCCGTCCCGCCCCGGACGCCCGCTCTGCGCGGAATGCAAATGCCCGCGACTTGTAAACGGTGCGATGTACACGCACGTGCTTCCAGCTTCTTAATCATTTTTTAATTTCACTTTTAAATTGCCGCTGACATTCGAGGCTGTGTTCCATTCCCGCCGGGTGTGCGGCGGCGTCTTTCGAAGTTTGGTGACGCTGAAGGGTTCTCTCCGGGGTTGGAAACTGTAATTAAAACAAAAAAAAAACAAAAACCACCTTCGTTTCTGCCTCTCAAATGATATGAGGACACGCACCCGCCCACCGCGGCCGGCACAGTGGGCCAGCACAGTTTTCCTCTGTGTCCATCACCGGTCCGGGGGAGGCTGTTCCTTCCCGGGGCTCCTGTCACGATCCTGCGAGGATGTGAGGGAGACTCGTGGATTGGTTGCCCCCCGCACGTGCCCCCACCAGGACGGGGATCGAGCCTGCAACCGAGGGACGTGCCCTCGACCGGGAATTGAACCCGTGTGGGTGCTCTAACCACTGGGAGAGCTGGCCAGGCGGTCCCGGCTCCAGGTCCCGCTTCCCTTCCATTTGAATGTAAGAGTCTGTCCCTTAGCCCAGAACCTTCCGAAAAGGGTCCGGCGGCCGCGGTTCAGTGAGGAAATGAAAGGCTGCCAGGTGGGGGCGTGCATCACTCCGGGATATTTTCAAGCCCATATGTGACCCAGTTTCGGTCCCCGTCGATGAGTTTTCTTAAAAAAAAAAAAAGAAAAATGATGCCTCCAGCCCGGCCGGCGGGGCTCAGTGGTGGAGCATCGACCTAGGAACCGGGAGGTCACAGTTCGATTCGCGGTCAGGGCACAGGCCCGGGTTGCAGGCTCCGTCCCTAGGAGGGAGCGGGCAGGATTTTCCTCTGTGTCCATCACCGGTCCGGGGGAGGGCTGTTCCTTCCCGGGGCTCCGGTCACGATCCTGCGAGGATGTGAGGGAGACACGTGGATTGGTTGCCCCCCCCCCGCACGTGCCCCCACCAGGAGGGGGATCGAGCCTGCAACCGAGGGACGTGCCCTCGACCGGGAATTGAACCCGTGTAGGTGCTCTAACCACTGGGTGAGCTGGCCAGGGCCTGACCGGGAATTGAACCCGTGTGGGTGCTCTAACCACTGGGAGAGCTGGCCAGGCGGTCCCGGCTCCAGGGCCCGCTTCCCTTCCATTTGAATGTAAGAGTCTGTCCCTTAGCCCAGAACCTTCCGAAAAGGGTCCGGCGGCCGCGGTTCCGTGAGGAAATGAAAGGCTGCCAGGTGGGGGCGTGCATCACTCCGGGATATTTTCAAGCCCAGATGTGACCCAGTTTCGGTCCCCGTCGATGAGTTTTCTTAAAAAAAGAAAAGAAAAATGATGCCTCCAGCCCTAGGTTGAGCATCGACCTAGGAACCGGGAGGTCACAGTTCGATTTGCGGTCAGGGCACAGGCCCGGGTTGCAGGCTCCATCCCTAGGAGGGAGCGGGCAGGAGGCAGCCCATCCAA